ACTTCTTAAGGTCCCTTCTAACTCCAGATCTATGATCCTAATCTCTTCTTTCCAAATGGAGTCCCAGAACCCTAATAAAGAACATACTTTGACTTTGGAAGAGAGCTGGCTCTTGATCTCTACCATCTTGACTTCAGCCTCACTGCCCCTGATGACTAGAGACTTTTGGTTTGCTCTGTCTCTGGGGAGGTTTCAAGTTGAATGCTTCCTTGAGGAAAGGGAACTTGGAGTCGGGAAGAGGGAGATTCAAATCCTGCCCTCAAACAATTTAGTTCCTTTTTTTTTTTTAATTAATAAGACCTGTGTTTTCACTGACGTAGGGAATTCCTTTTTTGAAGACTCCCTTTACCAGTGTAGATGTACTCCTGCTCTACAATTCATAGTCTTATTTGCCTAGAGTATTGAGAGGTTAAGTGATTCATCGAGGAGATGTGTTTTAGAGACTGGACTTGAACCCAGGCCTTTCTGACTGATAGATTTCGACTATGCTTGCCTGGCACATCTTAGCCTCTTAAATCCTTGTTCATTGATTGAAGACACTAGTATAGTGACAAGATCACTGGATTTAGGATGGGGAAATGAAGTTTGATTTTTGGTTTTGCCATTTATTAGCCACGTCTTTTTGGACAAGTCGCCTAACAAGCATAAACTAACTGTGCATATTATTTACTATATCTCCAGAAGGTCTTGGCCTTCTGGTTGCTCTTCCTCAGGGTTTCATACTACCTGGAGATGTTTGATGAAAAGGGAAAAACACCAAGGAAAAAACTGCTGGGCTGGTTTTCTCCAGTGTTCACGGGCTAGACATTACCCTAGGGCATAAGAAATATCTTAGATTGTAGAATCAGGTTCCCCAGCATCACTTTCCTTGGAATTTCTTATTGGGAGTGGCAATTAGGGGCTAGCGAATGACCATATCCTTAGAAGGAGAGGGAACCCAGAGAGTTAGCAGTAGGGTGGGGGTGAGGGATCAGCACAGCTGCCTTCCTTGGCTCTTGGCAGTGATAGAATCAAATTCCTAGTAAGCACCCCACTCCCAGCGGCTAAAACAGTTGTACTTATTGGTTGATCCATTGTATAAATGAGAGGGAAAGAGTAACTGATGAGGTTCAATCCTTCTGATTTCTTAGGATCCTCTTTGGACTGGACTAGGTTAGACTCTTTGGGGGGGGGGTCCAAAGAACCTTGAGCTGCTTCTCCTTTGCCCAGTTCCACCCCAGGGAAAAGCTGCTGCGGGAGTTCCCACCTCAAGCTTCACAGTGTGACTCACTCCACTCCTTCTCCAGCGTGCCTCGAAAGCCCGCAGCTCAGCTCAAGGGAAGCTGGAGCCAAGTCACCCAGCCTCTGCTTGGATGATTCTAGGGTGAGGGAGGGGCCAGCTCACGGTTTGGGTCCCACATGAAATCTGGGGTGGTTTTGCAGTGGTATTTTTGATGGCTCCAAGTTTTTTCAATGAGCTAAATGGAATTTGATAACTTCACTGGAGAGTGGATGATAGGGAGGGAGAGCAGGGAGAGCCTCCTCCATTCCATCCCAAGCTCAGAAGGGTCACGGTGTTTATCCACTGCAGGGTCAAGCAATGAGAGGCACCTCCTGACCAGACAGTGTAGGTGTATGCCTTTGGGAGATAAGAATGTTGAGGCTGTGGAGCTGGCTGTTCAAGTGAAAAAAGAATTCTCATGTTCAGGCCCAGAGAAGAGCTCTGAGGAGAGAGAAGCATAACCCTGAGACCCTTACTCCCCCTTTCCTAACTTGGTGGTGATTTCATGTTTACATGATGGAGAGGTTTCCTAGATTGGGGCCCTGAGGTCACCTACCTATTCAGCTAATTGACAAGTGTTCCTTAAGTACCTGCCTCTTGTCCTGCACTGTTTCTTTGGTCTGCTTCAGAGCATGGGCCAAGCCTTCCTGATTCTGGTCAGTTAGATCTCTGCATGACGGCTGTCTACCAGCTTAGTAGCTATGTTTCCAGCTTGGCTTTGACTCTCCGTATGCATACATATCTATGAAGGCCTTGGGTCTGGGTGAGCTTGGCTTCATGGCCTTAGGCCATCCCCTGCCCCTCTGTTTTGGTGGGCTCTCTGCCTAGACCTTGAGCTGGGAGGGGAGCTGCCGCCACCATCCCAGCTCAGCTGCCTGATTTGAACTCCATTTCTTTCCCCACTTCCTGGGGTCCCCTGAGCTTTCTAGGGAAAGGGTCTTGGTTTTGACCTGCCCCTCTCTTCTCCCCCACCCCACCCTCCCTCTGTCCCAGTGTCTTGCTCTTGGCCCTATCCTGGGGCCAGGGCAGGTCAGCACATGAAGCCACAGCTTTCTCCCTGGCATACTGCCTCCCCTTTCCAGTTTGCCGAGTCAGAGCTCCGGGGTGGGGGTCGCCCACGCTGATCAGACTGGTTTATAGCAGGGAGGGGAGTCTTTCTGACAATTCCCAAAGCCCTTTCCCCGTCCCTCAGTTAGCCCATTTTTTCCCAGGAGAAATGTCAGGGGCTGAAAGTGAGTGGCTCAGAGCTATGCTGGCCCAGCTGGCTGGTCATTGCTCACTTTGCACTCTGATCTGTGTCCTTTTGAGTGGGCATTTGGAATGATCACCAGGGAAGGAAGCCTTCAGGAAGCCTGAGCCCAACTCCTGTTTGGGAATTTCAGGGTTAAATCCTTGCCCAGCAGGGACTCTAACTCTGTGTTCTTTAGAGTGGAGTGTATGTGAATAACAATAGCAGTGGGGGAAATTAAGAAGGAAAGGGTGGGAAGTGGGGATGGGCCAGCCTTGAGGGTAGGCCGAAAGGAGCAGAGGAGCCTAAGGGGCCAGGATTGGGTTTTTGTCGCCTAGCTTGTTTCAGAAGCTGGGCCCCCGTCCCACCCCATCCTACCCTGTCCCACCCCATCCCACCCTATCCCACCCTCAAACCTAGTGTCTGCTGAGTTGGGTCTTAAGCTAGAAATTCATCCTATGTCTTGGCTGCAGCTGCTACTTGAGTTTCTTGGAGGGCAAATATGGTCTGACAGAGAGCAGGCATTCTAAGACTCCCTGTGACCAGTTAGGTTCATCTCATCCATTGGCTTTCCAGGTCTTTGGAGCCTCTTCTGCTGGAGGAAAATTTCCCGCCCAATGCCTCTTCCCTGGTGCCTGGCTTTCTTAAGTGCAAGAGGAGGGTTCTGGGCTACCTGTCACATGTGTATATGTTTTGGCCTGAGTACACCATTAAGTAGAATTTCCTACATCTAGTTTGTTCTTCTGTGGGGTCTGTGGTCCCAAATGTCTTCTAATTTAAGAAGCAGCATGATTTTGTGGCAAGCCATGGACATGGGAGTCTGGAGACTCCTATGTTCCAATTCTAGCTTTGATACCTGTGGTTCTGGGCAGGTCACTTAGCCTTATGTTCCTCATGTATTGTCATAGTAATACTAACACTACCCACCTCACAAGTTAAAGTACCATATGAATAAGTTGTTATTAAGCTGGAATAATACCAAATTACTGGACTTGCCAGGAGAGGGGAAAGGCTCCAGCCCCTTAACTTATATTTGACTTGTTCTTTGCCTCTTCCTTTTCCTGAATCCCTTTGTGTTTAAACAGGGATTTAAGGCATCTGCTTCTGGTTCTGTGACTTGGACCTGCTTCGACACCTAACATGTATCCTCTCAGGGGCTGAAGGGTCCCAGATTGCCAGCTTTCCAGCCTTCTCTTCCCCAAGCACAAGTTGTTAGCTGCCCTTCCCAGGGAAATTGGAGCCTCTAGAGCCAGATTTGGTGATGACTCCACAGGATTAGGTGACAACTTCCAGGCCTATGGGAGCCCTTAAAGAGCCAGTTTAAGGTGGTAGCTTTGGCCTGGGTACTGGGTGAGAGCAGACTTCTGACCCCCGGAAGCCCTTTTCTTCTTAGAATCTAGACCCTAAAATGTCTGTCTTTGGGTATGGTTCCTATTATGGCTGGAACCTTTGGGGTGGAGAGAGTAGATAGAATGAGTAGGCAGCAAGGACCAGGTTGTCCTTTACCCAGAAATGCCTGACACTGATTAGACCAGCTTCTTACTCATCCCAACAGGGCCCCTCTCCTTACTCGTGAGAAGGTTGTAGCTTTCTTCTTATAGAATGTTTTAATTTGAAGGATCCTTCAAGGCCATCTAGTTCAGCCCCTTCATAGATGAAGAAACTAAAGCCTTAGAAGTACCATCTCTGTCCTTTTCCCCTTTTACTCCTAAATTGGATCATTGATTGCTCCATAACCTTCGTAGGAACCTTTCTGTTCCCATGGGAACAGGGGGTGCTTGTCACCCAGAGCCACACAGCTTTTTCTCAGTTCTTAGTATACAGTCCCTAAATCATGTGAATTGGAACAGGGTAGAGTACCAGACTGGGTTCTCTTCTCAGATTTTCTTTTTATTTTACCTTGGTCCCTGGGTCTGCTTCTCTTCCATTTCTGAGTGGGTATTCCTTTCCTTTTCCCTCCATGGACATGTACAAGATGGGAGGGAGCCTTGGGCTAGGAGGATAATGGGGGGAAATGGACTTTTGGGGAAAGCATTCCTTTCTCCAGTGGAGCTAGAACACAGGCCTTGTGGACCATCCCATCAATCAGTGGTTTGAAAAGAGGAGAGTTGGAGGGCGAAAAAAATCTAGGCTTGGAAAACCTGGGGACCAGGTGGTGCTTTGGAGTCCTGGTAGTGAGCAGAGTGGGGCTAGCAGAGACAATTAAAATTCGAAAATGACTGTGAGGAGGAGTTGAAAATGGGAGTGGGCTTTGAGTCTGGGGAGCTGTGCTCTTAGCCTGGGTCAGAGAGCGATGTAGTGACAAGAATGTTAGCCTGGAGAGCCAGGGAAACCTCATCTCTGGTCCTTCTCTGTCTCTTATCCAGCTGTGTGATCATGGGCAAGGTGGTTAACTTCCCAGAGCCTCAGTTTCCTTGTCATACCTGTAGGGTTGTTAAGGATCAAATGAAATAGTAGATGTAAAATGCTATATGGAATTGTCAGTTATTACTGTGGCCGTCTCTCCTACAGGTCCAGAAGCTACTCTATGACGCATGCTCGGAGGAAATCTCTATCCCTGCTGAGCTCTCTCCCCACTGGCCGGGAGCCACTTAGGGTGGAAGGCAAGAGGATGGAGCGGCAGGAAGGCAATGAGCCAGGGGCTGTTCCAGAGGTCCCAAGCCTCACCAATCTGCAAGACCTTAGAAAAAACTATCCCCTTCGCAAGCGGCTTCTGGGCCCAGGCAAGCCCAAGACCTGCAAAGTGCTGCTGACCCGCCTGGAACATGTGGCCAGCCCTCGGGGCAAGGAGGCCTCAAGCTGGGTTGAGGAGCTGCAGCCACTTACACCTGGCTTGCCTGAGACATCTGTCCCAGGCAAGGGTGAGACAGGTGGAGAGCAGGATACTGGGACTGATAACACCCTTCCTGAGGAACCACGAAAGAGGCGTCTTGCTTCACTCAATGCTGAAGCCCTCAATAACCTGCTCCTGGAGCGGGATGATGGGGCTGGCCTTGCTGCTACCCGGCGATGCCGAGGGGAAACTAGGAGGGCCCGAGATAAAGTGAGTGGGAGTTGGGCCTCACCAGAGAAGCCAGTCCCCAAAAGCTTTAAGGGACGGAGCCGAACTCGGGCAGGAAGACTCAAGGGTAGTAACCAGGACATTCTGCCTGAGGAAGTATTTGAAGACAGTGCCCGCCGGGAAGGTGACACTGCTCCCAAGAGACTGGCCAGCCTGAATGCGGCAGCCTTCCTCAAACTGAGCCAGGAGCGGGAACTGCCACATCGTGCTCCCCGAAACCACACTGATGGGGATGTCCGGTCTGACTCCATAGGCCCTAAGACATTGAGGCTTAAATGGGCCAAAGCCAATCGGAAAAACTGCGTGAAGGCTAGGCAGGAAGCTAGCCTAGTAGGGACTGAGGGACTGCCCAGCTGGCAAATACCCCCCGAGGGAACCTGGCCGCCTGCTGCCTCTTCTGGCTCCCCTAGGTTATGTGGCAAAGCGGAGCCCCTACCCTATGAACCCTTAAGCCACGCTTATGAGAGCCCTGGGGACCTGTACCACCGGTTGCCCCTGCTGATGGGCGGGCAGGCTGCCATGAAGCCAGAGTATGGGCGCCCAGGAGAGAAGTCTCCCACTCCCAAACAAGACATACACCAGCCCTCATTTCCTCTCCCCCAGCTACCCCCGCTGCCTGTGCCCGGCAACCACTCTGACTTCGGCTGCTTCTTTGGTGGCCCTGAGCTTACCACACTGAGCGGGGTCTACTTGTACTACGGTCAAAGTGGACTGCAGTGTGGGGGCTACTCGCCCTGTCCTGTGTTCCCAGAGGGGGGAGAGCTGTCCCCTTCTGCTCCCTGTGATGGGCTTCTGGTGGCCCCGAGCTCCCTGCCCACAGGGACCCCCTTCCAGCACCCTCCCTGGTGTTCATCACGCTATTGCTGTGGAGAAGGAGAAGGAGTAAACAGCTACAGCCTCTGCGGGGTTCTCCCCATGTCCCTTAGTCGCGTCAGCAGCCTCCATGCCACTCATGGCAGCTGTCCCTACAAAATGCCTTTTGCAGCAGGTAAGATGTCCCTGGGAAAGTTGTTTGACTTGAGGCGAAGGGTTTCCAGGGTGACTTGTGCGTTTCTAGTCTTTGCCTGTAGCATAGTGTCCTGAGAGTTCACTCTAGGCTCATAGCAGATGACTGTGTGTGTGTGGCGATCAGGGAGGCTTCTGCTGGTGCTAGGAGAGCCTGGCCCTGAGAAGTGGGAACGATTTCGGTTCTGGCATTGTCAGGCAGGGTCCAGCCTCTAAGGCAGAGAACCTCAGTTTTATTCTTTCTCCCTTGGTGGTCATCAGACTGCTTGGGCATGTCTGACAGCTGAAGCTGCACCCAGCTTATCTGCCAGGACTTTATGGAGAATAGCATGATATGATAGCTGGGTAGTCTTGTCAACAGTCAGCAAGCATTTAAAATTGCTTACCGTATGTCTGCCACTATACTGTGCAGTGGAGTTATAAAGATAGGCCAGAAATTGTGCCTGCCCTCAAGGAGTTTACATTCTGATGGGAGAGACAGCTTATAAACAGCTAAGTTCACAAGAGATATATAGTTGTGTGTGTGTGTGTGTGTACACGTGTACATATATGCATGTATGTATACACACTTGATGGAAGGTAATCTAAGAGGGGAAAGCACTAGCAGCTGGGGGGAATCAGGAAAGGCCTCCTGTAGAAAGTACTTGTACCTGTCAAAGCTTTTGGTTACTCCAAAATTCAGTGTAGTATGACTGAGACCTAGGGCAGGCCCTGAGATGCTCATTGGAGGGTCCTGCCTACTAGTAGATCCAGAAGAAGATGCATGTAGTTTTGTAACATGTGTTTTTGATAACCTGACTGTGTAACCAAATGTTCCCATAACGATTCAGAACTCTGCTGTAACATTGACTGATGAGGGGCAGGGCCTCTCTGGCAGCCTAGCAGACTGCCCTCCTGAAGCTGCTTTTACTAATAAGTTTTCTCAGAAGCAGTCAAGAGTGTGGATAGGGCTATGCTGATGCCTTTTCAGATGTAGCTTTGCTTTCTGAGTATGTCAGTCTTGTCAAGTTGTGTCCTTGTCATCTCTGCTTCTCCCTTTGGGAGCTGAATCCTATGACTCTGTGCCTGTTGCAGAAAGCCCCAAACATTGACCAGTGTGTGCTACAGAAGCATTCACATGGAGAGCTGAGCTGAGCCCTGGGCAGGAAAGGTGGCTGGGGCGTGGGACTGGGAATGTAGATAGAGGCCTTAAAGTAAAGGCAGCTCTACTGGCCTTGGTGCCAGGGACCCTTGCCTTCCCTTACATGCCCCCTTAGTATGTAGGCTCAAGTAGGATTGCTCCCTTTGGGAAGTCAGGTCAGGATTCCCACAGCTTAAGCATAATCATATCCGAGCCCACAAAATTGGTTCTTGTTGTCTCAGTGAGACACGAACACCTCAGGAAAATGTATTCCAGGCCTGATGAATCTGTCTCTATTATATCTTCTGTCTTCCCAGGCTAACTAGAGAAAATACAGAGACCATAATGCCTTTACCAGAAAAAAAAATCTTCAAAAATTAGAGAGTAGAATCCTCAAGTGAGAAAGAATGGGGAGTTCTTATTGGTCCCAGCATTTACAGGTTAGCATTGCCCCTTTTCCAAGAAGACAAAGATCACCAATCTCCTCCTGAGGCTAAGCCCTGGCCAATGTGCTTGGGGTTTAGAGTTGGTGTCCTCAGTGGGGTAGGGAAGCTGCCTTGTCTCGGTGGCAGACTCGCAGGCAGACCCCTCCCAGCATTCCACTTGGGCAGCCTCACTGTGCCCCAGGAAACACACCAGTCCAGTGGCATTTGTACCTGCTGTCTCTGGCGTGTTCTGCTTTGGTCCAGGGGCAGAGCAAGGAGCAGTTGGTAGAAGTTACGGAGAAACAAATTTAGGCTTGACTTTAGGAAAAACATCTTGTAAGAGCTATCCAAAAGTGCAGTTGGCTGCCTTAGGACTCAGTGGGCTCCCTCTCGTGAAGGTCTGCAAGCAAAGGCTGGATCGGTCTGTGTGCAGATTCTCTTCTGGGTTTCGGTTGGACTAGATGGCTTTTGAGGTCCATGCTAACCCTGAAATTCTGTGATTCTGCTTGCCAGAGAAAGTCTGGATAGGAAGTGGGCAGCCATGACTTTTGGGTCTCTTCCTCCCAGCTCACACACTGACTACTTGTAGCACCTTCTCTCTCCTTCCTAGGGAGGTGACCACATCAGCTGGGGCAATAACTCAGTCATCATTCCAGGTGGCTCTGCCCTGCTTCTAGGAGCCTGAGTTGTCAAGGAGGCACTGACCTGGGCCTTTCCAATGGCTCCCTCTCCACCCTCTCTATAGGAGGCTATAAAACAACTTTATAGACCAATGGGCTCTGACCAGACTGGTTGTTCCAGGTTCCATGTTAGGCTAGAGCCCTGAAAAATGAGGGCAGGGTTCTTTCTGACTCTCTTTCTACCTTTCCTTTCTCTCCTCCCCACCCCGCACCAGGCAGGAAAGATATGGCTTCTCTTGTCTCACCCACCTTACAGTTACCTTGATAGGTTACTTGCATAACTAATAGCCTAAAACTCTTTTACTCTTTGTAAAGCTCCTATGGTTCTCCTGTGATTGTGATCCCCAGATTTCTCTTTTAGATCAGGAACTAAGCTTTATGGAAACATGGGTGAAATGGACTACAGATTTCTCCCTGACATTCTCCTTCCTCTCCCATTAGAGAGTTGCAGGTCTCTAGACCAGCTGGACCTCACGATCCCTGTGGCTGGCCATCCAGCTTCGCCTGCCCACCCCCTCTCAGGATGTCCTGTGCCCAATGTGCCGCCTGCAGCTGAGCCTGTCCCCCATCTGCAGACTCCCAATTCAGAGCCCCAGACAATGGCCCGGGCATGCCCACAAAGTGCAAAGCCTCCTAGTGGCTCCAAGTCTGGCCTGCGTACGGCACCCAGCTGCCTGCACCCCTCTGAAACTAAGGCAGTGACCGGGCACGGCCACCCGAAGCAGCAACGCATCCAGCGTCGTCGGGCCACCAATGGCTGGGTGCCTGTTGGGACTGCCTGTGAAAAGGCTGTGTATGTTGTGGTAAGTACCTAACACCTGGTGAGGGGAGGCAAGGGACAGAGGGCAGAGCTCTTTGGGACCTTGTAATACTCTTTAGGGCATTAAGCTGTGAAAGGTAGAGGAGAGACTAAATCCTTCTCACCTGCTATTCCCATGGTTCCTGCCATGAGCTCATGGGAGCTGGTGAGTTTCAGAATGGGACTGTACAAGCATCCGAGGCAATTGTAGTATGGTGGAATGAATGCTGGATATGAAGGCAGAAGATGGTTTCTAATCATAATTCTGTCACTGAATGACCCTGGGCAAGTCACTTACTTTTTCTGAGCAAAGCATGAGTAATCATAGGTATTGGATTCTGTCTGCCTGCCACTAATTCTCTGGACATCCTTGGGTTATGTAGTCTTCCCACAAAACTTCTGCCTTTTCCTATTTCCTAGTTCATAAAATGGGAACCACTCCAAGAAGCGTTTTGGTACTCCTCTAGGAAAATGGATTTTAGACTTCTGGTAAACATGGCAGCTTGAAAGCCTCCAGTCAAGTTAGTAGCTCCTATGAGAAACAACATAGCAAAGATGTTTACTTTATTGAAGGAAATAGTCATTAAACTCTAAGGGGAACACCAGTAAGCTTCTCCATCCAGTCCAGGATTTCACAAGGAGATGGCCAGAAGCCTGTGGGCACTCTGGTCAGGGTGGCTTCAGGGGAGCCTATAGCCAGTGTGATCTCTGGTAAACATGACTGAAGCCAGTGGGATCTCAGGAGCCACAGAAGGGGACAAAGCCAGCTCCCTGTGGGTGACTTCCCAAGGAAACAGAGACAGAGCAGAAGTGCCTTAGCAGACAGAGCTGTGGGTCCCTCTAGGAGACCTGAAGCCAGTGAGATCACTGATATCCAATAGCCACACTAGAGGATCAAGGAAATGGAGTTGGGACCAAATCCAGTAGACTATTAGGAGTTAGAAGCTAAAGCTAGGGATTGAGCCCTAACACCCTATCACAGGCCTAGATTAGGAAAAATGTCATGAAGGACTCAGCCATCCCATCAAGAATGTTGGAAGGGCATTATCAGAGACAGAACCAGGACCTACCCACCTCATCCAAGAATGAAGAAGAATGGATCTATTACAAAGTCTCAGCTAGGAATTGAGGCTAGAGACATGAGCAAAGAGAAGAAAACTTCTAATACACTGAAGAATACCATGGGTTAGAAGAAGCTGAAGAAGTAAATCCAGAAGAGTAATTCCACAAGAAATAAAAGAAGGAAAATGACATGGCAACAAGGACTCCAGGAATGGGTGAAAGAAATGAAGAGACAAAAAAATACAATTAGAACTCTTGAAGAAAAAAAGCTTAGAGTAGAAGGTGAAAAACATGACTCAAGTAGGAACAACCTTTAAAAAGCAGAATGGCGCAAACAGAACTCAGAGATTGAAGGAGACATGAAATATTAGAACAGAGTCAAAAGACTGAAAAATTAGAACATGTCAGGTATCTGCTATCAAAAATAAATGACTGGAAAACAAGGCAAGAAAAGATAATTTAAAGATCATGAGACCTGAAAAGCATGACCAAGCAACAAACCTGGATACCATGACTCAAGAAATCACAAGAAAACTACTCAGAATTATTAGAACCAGAGGCTAAAATGAAACTAAAGTCTACTCATCACTTCCTAAAAGAAACCCCAAGTTGAAGTTGCCCAGAAATGTCATCACCTCAAACCAGAAAGTATGTGCTGGGGACATGAGATGATGGAATGTCATAGGACAGATATGAGAGTGAGGGACCAAATAGCAATGAGGAAGGATAATTAATGCCCTGAGCCCACAGGGTTGGTCCCATAAAGTTTCTTACCTCATTTCCTAACCTTTGTCTGGGAGTTCTCCCCTACTCTAATCCTTGAAAAGGAGATATACAGGGTAAATGTATTCCTTTGGCCTCCCTCTCCTTGGGTGGGGGTGGAGTGTTATATCAAAAGGATTATAATTCCTTTCTTCTCCTATTATAAGACTGCAAAATCTGAAACCCACTTATATCATTGCCTAGAATGAACCAGGACCAGCCATCCGAAAGAGCTACCAGGCGGTGGAGCGTGATGGAGAGATGATCCGGGTCCGGGATACAGTCCTTCTGAAGTCAGGACCACGAAAGAAATCCATGCCCTATGTGGCCAAGATCTCTGCCCTTTGGGAGGACCCTAAAACAGGTATTAACCCAGGGAGAGGAAGCAAATGACACCTGCAGTTTGACACTGGGTTAAGGTTCTGATAGTGAAGTCTCTGGCTATGGAAGATAACACCTCAGGGACTGAATACCTCATTGAGTTTTCTCTTCAGGTTCTGTCCATACACCTTCAGGCCCAGGCATCTATCCTGTCTCTCTTGAAGGTGCTCCCACGCCACAAACTCATCCCTGAATACTGAATTCCAGACTAGCATCAGAGAGAGGGGTCAGGTGCCCTGGGCAGTTGTGGAGTCATGAGGAATCATTACCAAAATCTAATCTGGGTGAAGAGCTCTAGCCAGAGTTGACAACAGCTTGAGAACTCGAGGCCAATCTTTCTAGGATTGTCAGCTCCATCCCTGAGTGCCTCTATTATCTTTCCACAGGAGAGCTGATGATGAGCCTACTGTGGTATTATAGACCAGAGCATACTCAGGGAGGCCGAAATCCCAGCATGCATCAGGTGAGCACCTAAAAAGTAAAGAAAAGTGAACACAGTGGGGGCTGTCCTGTGGATATGTGGGGTGGGTGGAAAAAAGGTATGGATGCAAGATGGAATTGGGGATGAGGGGCAGAACTTTTTCTTCTTAGCCAGGCTTTTTCCATGGCCTCCCAGAAAGCATGTACCTCTACAAAACTGGGAATTATTCTTGCCTTTTCAACCAGCCCTCTCCTGTTGGGCATTTCTGGTTCTTAGGGGAAAGGGAGTAGCAGTACTTGTTTTAAAGAGAGAAAAGTATCACTGAAGACATTGCAGGACTCTGCATGAGACTTGTGTCTAGAACCTGCTGCAATCTTAGTTTCTCCTATTGACAGCTTCCAGCCTAATGATTGCAGAGTGGGTTTTCTGGCTAAAATTGAGCAGGATCTGCTTAGCTGAGTAGTCCCTCTCTCCTGAAGATTGAATTGATGTGGAAGGAATGCATAGTGCCTCTTGTTACTCAGGTTGCCTGAGCACCCCAATACCCCCTCAATAAACTTAAGTTCTCCCAGAAGAAGATTGAGCAAAGGGGGAAGGCCCTTAACTAAGTATTAGGATGCCTGGATTCTATTCTTGACACTACTGCCATTCTCTCTGGGCTGTAAGACCAGCTCTAAAGCCTCTGGCTGCTTGGGGGTGTTTTGGTTTGTTTGTTTTTTCACTCTAGTCTAGGACCAGCCTATTTCAGATGGGGTAGGGACTTGAGAAGATCCTGGAGCCTATCCCTGCCTCTAAGCTCCCTCAGCTGACTAGGTTGAAAGGGACTGTTTTCTTTCTCCCACCGTATAAAACCCCAGTGCTGGAACCTGGGCTATGAGATAAAATGGCTGGAACACCCTACAGATTCCATATAGCGCCCCTGGAAAGGAAGCTGTTGGCACAGGCCTTAGTTGTAATTCCCCTGTTAAATGGAAAATGGAATAGGGCTCAGGAGGTAGGAGTGGGTTCGACGATTGGTTAGGAGAAGATGGCTATTTGGCATTGTGAGTGATTGTAGGAACACCAGCTTAAACTTTCTCCAGGGGAGAAAGGGAAAGAGTAATGATTCCTCTTCACCCTGCTTGGCTTGAGCTATGACTACAGAAAGCATTTCTCTGTATCTAAACCTTTTACTGCCCTCTTTCCTCCTCTACTCTGGCAGAATGAGATCTTTGCATCCCGCCACCAGGATGAGAACAGTGTGGCCTGCATTGAGGAGAAGTGCTATGTCCTGACTTTTGCAGAGTACTGCAGGTAGGTGGTTCTTTCTGCCCACTCAGGCCCACTTCCCTCCTCAAACAAGACCCCTGACATGGCCTAGAGGGAGCTACTGTCAGCCCCTTCCTCCTCCTGCCCCCACAGAGGCCTTAGAGGTACTTCTGAGGCCCAAGAGAACTTTCTGACATACCACCTGACTGTCTTGAGGGGATCCTCTTCTCTCACCACAGACTGGACCTGGTGGGATGGGGTGGCATGGGGAACTGGAGGGTGGCCCTGTCCTCAGCACTTCCCTAGAAGGAAGAGAACTCCATTGGGGTCCTCTTCAAGCACAGTTGATTTCCACTAGGGCAGTGGGGAGCCTGGAAGGTGTTTGTTGTGGGCAGGCTCACAGGTGGTGTTCCCATATGGGGAGGGAAGGAGGATTGGAAGGGAGAAGAGTCTACATCCTGATGTAGGTCTTAGGGGATGAAACCCCACATGATGGCCATACTGTTCCCCACAGATTCTGTGCCTTGGCAAAACGTCGGGGTGAAGGTCTCCCTGGCCAGAGAGCAGCGCTGGTGCCCCCCTCGGTAGAGTATTCTACCCCACCCCACCGCACAGTGCCAGAAGACACAGACCCTGAACTGGTGTTTCTTTGCCGCCACGTCTATGACTTCCGACATGGCCGCATCCTCAAGAACCCACAGTAGCTGCCCAGTCCCCAGCCCAAGGGGAAGAGCTGGCAAGGGGCATCTGGGGGGGGGTTCCCCATATGCCAGGGTGGCTTCCCCAGGGCAAGGATGGCAGCAGCTCAAAGCACAGCACTTGGTTAGAAAGAGCAAAAGGGACCTGGGGGAGGTATGGTCTGGTTTGGCTGAGGGTGGGTTGAGCTGAGCAGGCCATATCTGTTCTGGCCTAGCAGAGGCCAGGGTCCAAGGAAGGTACCAGGCTCCCCCAAGAAATCTTTCCAGTGGTCCCATGGGAGGCAATGCCTGGATAGAGCAGTCTCTCAAGAGGCCATGGAGCCTGGCCCAGAAGGGGGTGGGGTAAGATAGGGCAGGGCAGCAGGGGAGCTCTGCTGGCACTTCAGCCTGTCCTCGGTGGGAAAGGGGGGGTGGGAGACCAGCTTTACCTCACCACACTGTGACCAGCTGCTGCCCACTCCTGGGGGCTCTCTTTCCCTTGTTCAGGGAGCATTCCTGCTCCCTGCACGCCCCCCAGGCTCTGAGCAGACCACTGAGCCCATGCCTCAGAAAGCCAGAGCCTGTCTTCTTGAGCACTTGAGTCCCTCTCCCTAGGCTAGGGGTGCCCCACCCCACTCCCCAGGCCCCTGGAGCATTCCCCGTCTCCACTTCTCATCCCAGTCACCCCACAGTACACTGCTGCCATGGGGTGAGGGCGGGAGTGAGCCCAGCACGGGCCCTGTCTTGCTGAAGATGTCCGGCTTCCCGTCATCCTGGCACAGAGAAGGTGCCCAGGGACTCCCAGAAGGAAACTGCCCTACACAGGGTGTGTGTTGTTTTGGGGAGGGTGGGTATTTGGGAGGGGGGTGGGGTCAGGGAGAGAGAAAAAAAAATACTACCTGATTTGCTGGAGACTTTTTTCCCTCTTGCCTTACACGTTGCGGTTCTACAGAGCCTCCTGCAGACCTTCAACACCCAACTCTCGGAGCCCAGTCCTAAAACAAACCAAAGGAGAGCGGGGTGGTCCACCACTTCCCCCCTCCCCCGCCTGCCCACCCATCCATCCGTCCGTCCCCCTGGAAGCCCTTTGTAGATTGCACTAATTTAAACCAGAATGAGAATCAACACTGTATCAGTCCGCAGACCTGCTGAGAGCTGCAGCCACTCGCTCCTGGAGTTAGGGAGGGACCTGGGTTTTCCGTTGTGTTCCTTTCTAGCCCAAGTAGAGGGCCCAGCTCTGACCTCACCTTTCTTCCTAGGGATGGCCCCAAGAAAAGAGCAGGTTAGGAGTCCCCTGCCCCTTACCCCAACCCCTTCTCGATTGGGCCTGGCTGGGGGGGGTGGGGTGGGAGGGGGGAGGTGGCAGCAGTGAGCAGGCCCTGTTTATTTCCTATTCATACCAAAGAGGGACCGTGATGGGGGAGGGAAAGGCTGAGACCGAGAGTCTTGCCTCTAGTTAGCTGGGCTGCCAGCTACCCACCCCACACCAATGTGTTTGCCCTCCTTACCCTCACTCCCAGTCTCACAGATTCCTGGGGAGTTGAAGGGATCAGGCTGTGTGAGAGGCAGAGAGCCTCTTGATCTGGGGATGTGCCTGTGCAAGGCCAGACCTTCTCAAGGCCTTTGTGGCGCCCCTGCTTTGTCCTTGTCCTCTCTATGTCCCTTCATATTGAGGCTTCTGGGGGGGAAGGGAGAGGGACAGTTTATATCCACTAAAGAGTGGATGAGGTCCCTAGGGTACAGAGGAGAAGTTATAAGAGGGGAGCCCAGGCCCAATTAAGGAGAGGAATCTGAGGGCCCCTCAAACAAATAAGCTGATTGGGGGGGGGGAAATCAGTCTGGGAGGGATGGGGATCCTGGGATGCTCAGGGCACCTTGCCCACAGCAGGCAGTAGGGGAATAATGCATGAGGGAGGCTTGGGATTGGAGCTTTTCGTGCTGCCCAGCAGCTGGGGTATCCTCAGATACCGGCTCCATCCCGAAGGATCCTCAGTGATCCTGCTAGTGAGAAAAAGCCAAGCCTCCTCTAGCCCTCTAGAAGGAGGCCCACCCTCCCACCAGGGAGGGAAGAGACTTGGCTCCTTGGGTCCCTTCTCCTCAAGGCAGGGCACCCCACTGCCACCCAGGACTCTTTCATGCTTTTTTAATCTCTTAGATATGGAAATATTTTTTGAAACTGAAAATGCAGCTGGTAGAATTTCAATGGAAGTGTAATCCATGTAAAATATATTTTAGTTGATAATTTTGTAAAATGCACTTTTTTTGTGTCGCCCCTGGTTTCCCAGATCTGTATTTCAGTGTTTACAAGGGGGGAGAAACCTTCCCTCTCGCCCCCTTCTGACAGAGAAATTAGAAGTAATTCTTTAAGAAAAAAAAATAAATTTGAGAAATTGTATTGATTTAGAAAAGGTTCACTTCTTTGGTGTCTTGTCTTTTGCCTGTGAGTTTGTTTTATGTGTCCGCGTGTTAACTCTTTCAATGCCACTTTTCAGTTGAGAGAACTTTCCTCCTGCCCCACCCCCACCCCAGTAAAAAGTGTGGGGTAAATTGGAGAGGGATTGAGGCAAGGATTGAACTCTTATGGGGATGGAGAGGAGGGACTGGAACTTGAAGACCTCTAAGATGAATGACTGAATAAGCAATTAAATGCTTGCTGTGACCCCAAGCATTGTGGATGCAGTCTCTGCCCTCAAGGGACTGCATGGGATGGGGGATGGTGGTAGCCAAGGAAGGGTGATAGAGGCCATTGGACATTTGATGGTTCATGTGCCCAGCCCAGAAGCAATGGTAGTACTGATTAGATTATTGTTCAACTCAAAGGAAAAGGGGGTAGGTTAGATGACTCATGGATCACCACTAATGTGAATTTTGTGCCTTTCTTCCATCCTTTTCCAAGAACTTACTTTAGAATGGGGATGGGAAGAAATGTCTCTTAAATTGTCCCAACTCAGACCTAAATAGTACTCTCCCTCCATCTGAAAATGGGGGTGATTCATGGAATGCATCACTGATGTAGGTGACTCACAAGTGGTTGGTTTGGTTTAGTGTGATTGTCAGCTCTGAATCTCAGTTTACCGGTGAGTAAGGTCTGCTCTGGGGAGGTAGCAACAACAGTAACTAATTCACACAGGACTTTAAGATTTGCAGTGTTTTACATATATTAATTATCACAACAACCTCTAAGGTGGGTGCAATTATTGTGCCTATTTTACAGATGAGGAAACTACATAGTAAGCATTTAAATGTTATGACTGTAGAACAGGTAAAAGGTAATACACAATCTGTTAACTGTTTCAGCTCACCCCAACTCTTAAGAATGTCTTTATCTGAAGAGGAAGAGGTTGCACTGAGATTGTCTTCCCCCAGGAGGCAGGGGCAACAGCCCCCAGTAGCATCACGTCCTCTCCTATGTACCTCGGGGAGTGTATACCTAAGAGGGAGCAAGAATCATAGATACATTTGGTGCCCTGGGAAAGATAATGGGCACAAGTTTTGCCCATGGGGCATTGGTGGGAAGGGTAATCTAGCAATGAGCTTGTGGGCAAAGCTATACTTGACAGAAGACATTGTACCTGCTGTCAGGGAGTTTGCCAGCAGGCAGCATGGGGAGGGCAGCGGGAGACACCAATGTGGTATGATAGAAGCAGGCATATGCAATCGACTAATTATCTACTGCTGGGGAAGTAAAAATGGTGCAAAGAATATATAGTGAACTTTCAAACTTGGTAGATGTTCACTGATGCGAGAATTACCTTTCCTCTCCCCACACCAACCCAGCCCGGTGAAGAACCAATAGGAAAAATCTGGAAAGACACTTTAACCCACTCCTTTCTACCAACTCATTGCCACTCAGTTGGAGTTGACTGCATTGCTTTCCAGACACTTCTTCCCCCACTCATCTCTTCCCGAATTCTTCTGATGGCATTCCATATTCTCAGTCACTCTTAGGCCAAATCTTGGAGTCATCCTTGGCTCTTTTCTCTTCTTCATGTGGTTCTGGTCCCTCCCCACTTTGCAGTCAATCAATTATTCCAGGGATCGATGTGCCAAAGCAGAGGTACCAAGCTAGGGGGTTTAATTACCCTGGTGCTTTGTTGCTGGGTCTCTCCCCACCTCAAATCAAATATATGGGTGATTACTACAGTAGTGGATGGGCAGTTCTAGTTACCGTCTCAGTGAATCCTTTAAGGGAGCCGAGCTGGGGGGTACTGCTGGTCACTGTCCGAGGATCATAGTTCTAGAGCCAGAAAGGACCTTAGAAGTCATCTAGATCCATCCTCTCATTTTGAGGAGGAAACAGCCTTAGGGAGGTTCAGTGATTTGGCGAAGGTCACAGAAGCAAAAAGAGGAAGAGGAAGGAGCAGAAGCCTCCGGCCTGCAGACGCCAAAGCCAATGAATGCCCTTTCCACCGACTATACCAAACTGCAAATGTGCCTGATGGCGCAATTCCCCATGCTCTGAATGAAAAGTATGTCCAACAGCTTGCAGCTGCAGGGACTTGGGAGGCTGATTGGGGAGAGGCCTCCCGAGGGCGAAACTTCAAAATGGGAAGCCAAAACTTTAATCTGAATCCCAGTCCTGTCCTAGCCTGGCAGTGAGGTTGTACCAACAGCCCCGTGTCTTTCCGGGACCCAGGTCCCATTCAGATTGAATGAAGTTTAACAGCATAGAACCCAGGCAGGAGAAGCCTCTGTGGAGGGAAAAAAATCCTAGGTAGAGGGAATGCCCATCCTCCATCCTTCCCATGGCGGGCCCCCTCCGTCCTAGGGTACACCAGGGTGTTCAGCTGATGACTGTAGGAAGCTGGGGGTGAGGTGAAAGGAGAGTAAAGTGACTGCCAATGCCTGGAGGCCTGCGCCCCCACCCCACCCCACCCCAATTCAGTTTAGAGGACTTCAGGGCTTCTTTTGTCCATGCAGCTGGTGAGGACGTGCAAGGGCGTCTGGGCTCCTCTCTCTAAGGACCCTTGCCAGTCTTAGAGGTCTGAGCTCACTTATAGCCTTGGGTACTTCCTATTCTCTGGCCCACGAGGAAATAGGGGTGTGACGCCCCCAACCTTGGACCCGCGGTGCTCGGATGCCCCCCCCCCGGGACCCCTTCTGTAGGGGACTGGGAGCGAAGGTGCGGGATGTATCCCGAGCGGGTGGGAGCCCCTAACCTGAGCCCCGGCTGGGTGGGGGCGGAGCCCTTCCTCCCGCCCTCCGCTCGATGTCACAGCTGGGGCCGGGCCGAGCCCTAGAAGGGGGAGCTGGGCCAGGCGGGACATCCGGCCTCCGCTGCTTCCCTCCTCCTGCCCAGCCGGCCCGAACCGCGGCGTCCGCAGCTCCGTACTCGGTAACGTCCAGCTGCCCGCTCTGGGCCGCTCCGCCTGGCCCGAGTGGAGCGCCCTGCGCCCGTCCCGGGGCCCCTTCCCACGCCCCCAGCTTTCTCTCGCCTAGAGCCAGAGCACAGCAGCCCGTACCCTTCCACTAGGCTAGGCCTGAAGCTGGACTCACTTTCAGTGCCTCTATCCCCTCTCTCGCTGCCTGAGACCGAGTTGTCTCCAAGTGACTGCCCCGTCCTGTAAAAGCTAACACTTAAGTAGGTCCTTCTCCCTGGAGGGGGGAGTGGACCCCATGTTCCCCCGGCCTCTCACCCCGCTGACAGCCCCGAAGGGCACGGAGCCCCTGGGACGGGCATCGAGGAGGAACCCCCTGGCTGCAGGAAGGGGTCGGGGCGGGTCAGGAGGGCCACCCCTGCTTCTCCCCTCCATGTTGATGTTTGGAGTGATAGTGGCCTCCAGTGGGCTGCTGCTCATGATTGAGAGGGGCATCCTAGCTGAGATGAAGCCTCCTCCTTTGCATCCCCACGGCAAAATGGACCCTGTTTGGCGTAGGGTGGCAGCTGGAAGTCCAGAAGTACTGCTAGATCCTGGAGACCCAGACCACCAGGTGCGACAGGATGTCCGGAATCGTACCTTACGGGCTGTTTGTGGGCAGCCAGGCATGCCCCGTGACCCCTGGGACCTCCCAGCAGGGCAGCGTCGGACCCTCTTCCGTCACATCTTGGTGAGTGACCAGTACCACTTCCTCTACTGCTATGTCCCCAAAGTGGCCTGCTCCAACTGGAAGCGTGTCCTCAAGGTCCTGGCTGGTGCCCTAGACAGTGTGGATGTGAGGCTCAAGATGGACCATCGAAGTGACCTGGTATTCCTGGCCGACCTACGTCCAGAGGAGATCCGATACCGCTTACAGCACTATTTCAAATTCTTGTTCGTTCGTGACCCAGTGGAGCGCCTCCTCTCTGCCTACCGAAACAAATTTGGTGAGATCAGGGAATACCAGCAGCGTTATGGTGCTGAGATTGTCCGCAGATACCGTGTAGGTGCAGGCCCTAGCCCCGCTGGTGATGACGTCACCTTCCCCGAGTTCCTTAGATACCTGGTGGATGAAGAGCCAGAGCGTATGAATGAGCACTGGATGCCCGTGTACCAGCTGTGCCAACCCTGTGCGGTGCACTATGACTTTGTGGGTTTCTATGAGCGGCTGGAGGCTGATGCCAACCAAGTGCTGGAGTGGGTGAGAGCACCACCCACAGTTCGATTCCCCTCCCGACAGGCCTGGTATCGACCAGCCAGTCCTGAGAGCCTCCACTACCATCTCTGCAATACCCCCAGGGCCTTGCTGCAGGAGCTTTTACCCAAGTACATCCTGGACTTCTCTCTCTTTGCCTATCCATTGCCCAATGTCACCAGGGAGGCCTGTCGGCAGTGACCATTCCTCCAGCCCTGCTGGCTGCCAGGAAAAGCCCTTTGGTAACCCCAAGGCCAACTACTGCCTAGATCCCAGAGTGTCCCCACAGTGGGAAAAAAGGATCAGAATTCTCATGTAACCAGGGAATTATACTTCCTGTCAGCTGGACACTTGGGCTGAGAGACAGGGTCATCCTTCAAGGGCTCTTTCTGAAGGCTTTTAGACTCTCCCCAGTTGCTGGCCCAGCAGGCAGGGGTGACATCCAGTTGCTCCAGATTCCAGCAGGCCCAGGTACTGTTAAGCCACCTATGCCTTGGAGCAGGACAAGGTGGAAATTTTTTATCCTGAAGAAGCATTCTGAGATATACTGCTACTTCTGTTGGGGGCTGGTGGGTTGGGGGTAGAGGGTTCCAACCAGAGGATAGAGACTTTTCCATCCAGTATTAACTAAAGGGGCATTTCCACAGCCCCTGCTCCCTATGTCCATAGAAAAATGGACCATATGTGAGAAAAGGTTTGGGTCCTCACCCTGCTAGGGGAGAAAATGGGAGAGTAAATAGTGTTGGACTTGGAGTCTGAAAGACCTGGATTCAAATTTGCCTGAGATATTTGCCAACTTTATTATCCTGGGCAAGTAATTTAACCTCTCTGGGCCTCCATGACCTCTAAGGTCCCTTCCAGC